ATGTGTATGTGTATGTGTATGTGTATGTGTATGTGTATGTGCATGTGCATGTGCATGTGTATGTGTATGTGTATGTGCATGTGCATGTGTATGTGTATGTGCATGCGCATGTGCATGCGTATGCGCATGCGCATGCGTATGCGTATGCGTATGCGTATGCGTATGCGTATGCGTATGCGTATGCGTATGCGTATGCGTATGCGTATGCGTATGCGTATGCGTATGCGTATGCGTATGCGTATGCGTATGCGTATGCCTATGTGAATGCGAATGCGTATGCGTATGCGTTTGTGTTTGTGTTTGTGTTCGGTTTGCGTTTATATTTTATTGTGTTTACGTTTGCTTTTGTGTTCTTGTATTTTATGTTAGTTTGTGGTTGGTTGTGGTTATGGTTAGGGATATATATATATATATATATATATATATATATATATATATATATATATATATATATATATATTTATATATATATATATATATATATATATATATACACCCAAAGTGGTGTAACTTGAAGCGGAAGGGCAGCGTTGTTCAAGTGAGTATCTGCCGCATCATGAAACCTGCAGCATAAGGCTATCGGGATTAGGTCTTTTCATCTCCGCTCTACCCCCGTACACCGGCAACGTGAGGGTGAGGGTAAAACGATTCCCTCCCTTTGTGCCGAAGTGTTGCCCGGCCCCGGGCGCGCTGGAACCCTCAGTGTCGGTGTTACACAATCCCGCGCCCAGCCCGGGGCGCCCGCTCCACTACAGCACAGCTAATTATTTCAAGATGGCGTCAAGCACCTCCGGCAGAAGTCTTGTTCCGTATGTTTATAAGGACGTAGATAAATTAACCGGCAGTTTCCGGCCTGATAATGGCATAATTTCGCTTCTAAATCTCGGCGCTCAATTAGATTCCCTCAGATGTGGCTGAGTGTTTATATCACGTTACGCTGCGGCCGGCACTCTCAATTCTCTATTTACTCCTCCCAGTCCTGGAGCCGGCCACCGGTTTTGCCGGTTCATGACGCTCATAGATATTAATTGTAAACCAAACAAGGAGCCGTACGGGGGAGCCGGCACGCAGCGAGCAGGGCGCCAGATCTACAAGAAAACAGCGTAATCGAGTTATAGCGAACTGTGCTCGCTAGTCTGGCGAATGTAGATCGCCGTCACGATGTTCGCCAGCATAAACAAACATTTCTACCATGAGTCAAACACAGAGCCATAGAACAGAACATACAACTAGATTAGCGTTTGTTGGATCCGTTTTAATATAACATTAGCATATCTTGTATTCATCCAATATTAGTCAATGGTTGAGTATAGTGTTCACACAATGTGATATATATATATATATATATATATATATATATATATATATATATATATATATATATATATATATATATATATATATATATATATATATATATAGTCCTACACAGTGGACGGTACCTCATTATCCCTATTTAATTTTCTCCGCAGTAATATGCGTGTAGATAAAATCACACCACACATTTATAAATAACAAAATAAATAGAATTCAATTTAATTAAATGTCTTTTTATGTCAAAGCTAATGTCACGTGATATTGTTATCGGACTTGTGAGGAAAGTCTAAAACAACTATGTATGTAGAGGTGGGTGATAGGTTGACCACAATCCACCACCATGACCACATTACAGACAAAACAAGCCAGGAATCGAGTGGAATATGTGCTTCGAGAATGTGGTGACGTTGTACGCATGAAATAATTGACGGAAAATCCATTTCCCGTCTTTAAATAAAGCGGGAGTAATCTCCCCTAAACTTTCCGCGGGAGTGATCTCCCCTAAACTTTCCGCGGGAGTGATCTCCCCTAAACTTTCCGCGTGAGTGATCTCCCCTAAACTTTCCGCGTGAGTGATCTCCCCTAAACTTTCCGCGGGAGTGATCTCCCCTAAACTTTCCGCGGGAGTGATCTCCCCTAAACTTTCCGCGGGAGTGATCTCCCCTAAACTTTCCGCGTGAGTGATCTCCCCTAAACTTTCCGCGTGAGTGATCTCCCCTAAACTTTCCGCGAGAGTTATCTCCCCTAAACTTTTCCGTATCTTATATCAGCAGGTAACTCACTACCAGGGCCATAGAAATGATTTTATTATTTTTAGAATTTTTTATTTTTATAATTAAAAAACAACATATTAGAATCGTGAAAAAAAAAGAATTGCGCATCAAATGAATGCAGTCAGTGTGAGTATTAAAGTTTCCATTCATATTTCTAGTTATTTCCCTTGAATGGGTTATAGATCTGCTCCACTCCTCCACTCTACATCCCCTGCTCCCCCTGCTCCCCCTGCTCCCCCTGCTCCCCCTGCACACAATGAGGCGGTCAAACATCGACAGATTCTCGCTCAAGTCACGCATGACTTTATGACTTAAATCAAACATTTGATATTCTAGAGCTATTTACATGTCGCGACGGTACTTTAGCGTCCATTGTTCTCCATCAACCGGGTCCGGCATGGGTGTTTGTGGTCCGCAGCCGTGGACCGGTTGACGGGCCGGCCGGCCGTGGGACGCGGGATGTGCAGGGTTTTTGCTGGTGACATTGTGGGGGTGTCAGCTCAGTGGACCAGCCCATGTTACGTGTGGACGTGGGGGTGTCAGCTTAGTGGACCAGCCCATGTTACGTGTGGACGTGGGGGTGTCAGCCGAATGGACCAGGCCGCGGTACTCGAGTGTCGGTCAGGGCGTGTCCGGAGCCGTGGGTACCAGATTATGGTCACGGCAAGTTGACATTCCATTAGCAGGACAATCTCTAGCACGTTATTTGAAACATTGCAAGACGGTTCAAGAGTTATTTGGCCATAAGGTATTGTTATAACTGGCCAGCAAGGTATTTATATAACTGGCCAACAAGGTATTTTTATGGACGATAACAATATAAGGCGAGATAAAAAAAACTGTTAGTATTGGTTCAACTTATTGTTTTACTATCTTTTGGGGTGACCACACTCCAACACTATATATATATATATATATATATATATATATATATATATATATATATATATATATATATATATATATATATAGATATAGAAATATAGAAATATATAGATATAGATAGATATCTACATGTTGAAAGTATTGTAACACAAGACTAAAGTGTACCCAGTCAAATCCTCGAGATAATTCCTTTATCAGGCGCCAAGAAGTTTTCACCACTTGAGAAACCCAACTTGGAAAAAACCAAATTCCCAACGAGTCTACTCTGATAGCCGTCTCGGGTTGCCTTTGGTCAACATCGTGCTAGCGAGGTGCCTTAAGTGCCGGCCGAAACACGAGAAGATTGATTTCATGGCAGATTTGCATAAATATTACAAGTGTACCCCTCAAATGGCCAATTAGAATTCACGAAACAAAATGACTTACCGCCAGCCAATCACTGAGCACTTTACATCTGTTTGCACTTATGCAGATCAATGGCTCGCTCCTACAGGGTTAAATGGGGTGGGGTGGGGGTGGAAGAGGGTGGGGGAGTGTAGGTAGTCAGACTGCTACTCGGAAGATATCCTGCTTGACTGGTGCCCAGATATATGGTGGATTTGTGCCCGGATATATGGTGGATTTGTGCCCGGGTATGTGGTGGATTTGTGCCCGGGTATGTGGTAGATTTGTGCCGGGTATGTGGTGGATTTGTGCCCGGGTATATGGTGGATTTGTGCCCGGGTATATGGTGGATTTGTGCCCCGGTATGTGGTGGATTTGTGCCCGGGTATATGGTGGATTTGTGCCCGGGTATGTGGTAGATTTGTGCCCGGGTATGTGGTAGATTTGTGCCGGGTATGTGGTGGATTTGTGCCCGGGTATATGGTGGATTTGTGCCCGGGTATATGGTGGATTTGTGCCCCGGTATGTGGTGGATTTGTGCCCGGGTATGTGGTAGATTTGTGCCCGAGTATGAGGTAGATTTGTGCCCGGGTATGTGGTGGTTTTGTGCCGGCTACGTGGTGGATTTGTGCCTGGTAAGTGGTGAATTTGTGCCCGGGTAGATTTGTGAGAGGGTATGTGGTAGATTTATGCGGACATTTGAATCTGAACTTGAAGCGGACATTTGAAGCTGAACTTGAAGCAAACAATCCAACTCCAGATTTTGATAAATCTCGATGTTTTACACCTCCCTGAGTCGGAAAAATGAAGTTTTACTCTTTTTTTCTGTTTGTCTGTGTTGGTATCTGTATGTAAACATTGTAACTAGAGTAAAGTTATTTTAGACGAAATTTCTGGAATAAGTATTTTATCCAATGTGTGGTTTTCTGTCAACTTTAAGGCAAGTTTTGGTAACCGGAAGTCATACATAATCCACTTCCGTTGTTTTTTTAAAAAAAAAACCCCTTGAATCTTGAATTTCACATTTTGATTGTACGCCTTTGTTTCTAACAAGCTTGAACTATTTCCGATAACCGGAAGTGTTCTTAACTCTGTTGCCCTTTACGAAAACCGAAATACTGTTTTAGTTAGGAAGAGAAAATACCGTATTCTAGGATTAGATCTTATTCTTAGATTACTTGAGATTTAGAGTGACGTGCAATATCCAGTTTCTAAACTACCGATAACTTAATTACTGTTTTAGTTAGGCAAACTAAATTTGATTTTAGAGTATGAGTTCCTGTACTTAGATTTCTATGAACGTTTGCACGAGTTCTGAAAAGTCTTCAGAATATGTTAATTTTATATCATATTCTCAAAGAGCATTTTTTACGAATTCTTCGCCTCAACGTGTGATCTCCAAAAACGATTGGACTGGTTTTTGTTGCAGACGTCCATTGTTCCACAACCCATTGCCACCCCATCCCTTACTTTTAAATGATAAATTATCAGAAAAATCTAGGGGAGAATACTCCCAATTTATTCTTGTTAAAATTTCAAAACAAAACATACAACATCTGACATGTACCAAAGAAAAACACACAAAATCAAACAAACACATCACTATTTGACTCCAACAAACACTGACACGTCATAGGTTTGGTGAAGTTTATTGTCTAGGGGTAAGAAGACATCCAATACAGCTAACCTAACACAACTACTGCAGTAAAGTCACGCTACCGTGACCATTCGTACAACTCCTCTCACTCAACTGTAACCAACGTACTACTGTGTTCATTCATCCATGACCATTTGAATTTCTAGTTTATTCAGCCATGACCATTTGTACTTCTAGTTCATTCAGCCATGACTATTTGTACTTCTAATTCATTTAGCAATGACCATTTGTACTTCTAGTTCATTCAGCCATGACCATTAGTAATTCTAGTTCATTCAGCCATGACCATTTGTACTTCTAGTTCATTCAGCCATGACTATTTGTACTCCTAGTTCATTCAGCCATGACCATTAGTAATTCTAGTTCATTCAGCCATGACCATTTGTAATTCTAGTTCATTCAGCCATGACTATTTGTACTTCTAATTCATTTAGCAATGACCATTTGTACTTCTAGTTCATTCAGCCATGACATCGGTACTACTTTGTTAATATAACGTATTCAGGAGCATACAGGATGAGAAGATAATGGACCGCCGACTGAATGAAGTGAATGAAGTATGTACAATATCAAGCGTGAATGAAGTATGTACAATATCAAGTCTTTCCATAGCAGCCTCTAGCCATTCTGTCTTCAACAGTAGCCTCGGTCAGAGGGTAGCCTTGGGTCAAGGTTCAAGTGACCGTGACCCACTTAAGTACAGGTCAGGGTCACAGTGGCCCGTGTGACAGGCTTTGATCAAAGTTTCAATGACCTTGAACCAAATGAGTACAGATTCAAGTTGACCGTGACCTCATTCGACGAAAGGCTTAGGTCAAGGTTGCATTGACCTCAGTCAACGCGAGGTCTGGGTCAAGGTTGTCTCAGTCCACGGGCTTGTTGTCCCGGGGGGAGCTGCCCTCGTCCCACGAGTCTGAGATGTGGTCTGAGTCGGTCAGGGCCGACTTGTCGCTGTTCTTGTCCGGCGTGCGTGTCCGGGGGGAGGCCGAGCCCCGGAAGTTGAAGCGGTACGGGTGGAAGGTGAAGGGCGAGGCGAAGACCCCGGGGTAGGACGGGGTGGGGAGGCCACCCAGCCCCATCCCCAGCCCGGCGTAAGCGAAGTGGTGCGCCGAGGGCAGAATGTCAGGGTGGGCGTGGCCCTGGGGGAAGAAAGGATTTCTGAGGGCGGCCTCGGCAGCTGGGTGGAAGTGCGGGAGTTGGTGGGTGAAGGCCGAGTGCAGGCCCGGGCCCAGGGGCGTGAACGCTGACTTGATGTTGCTGTAGGCCAGCTTGGGGGACGGGCCGCTGTGCGCCGCGGGGGGAGTGTGGTGCGAGTGGTGGCCCGAGGATCGAATCCCGTTAGGTCCGCTGCTGCCTGCCCCGTTGGTAGTGCTGCTGCCGCCATTGTTCAACACGCCGCCAAACATGGAATGGTTGCCAGGGAAACTGTTCATGAAGGGGTTTGATCTCACATCCGGTTTTTGATTGGCTTGCAGGACAGCCTGTTGCTGGGCAACCACGGTATCCTGTGCTGACAGGAAGTGCTCGATGGCCTTGACCAGGTCACCGTTACAGCCTTGGAGCACGAGCTCAAGCACAGACTTCCTCTGGTGCGGGAAAACCCGTTCTAGAATCTCCAGGGGCGACAACCGACCAGGTCTGTACGCCGTTGGTCGCTGGTGACTTCCGGTCTCCGCATTTTCCTTACGATGGTGGTGGTTGGTGTGGTGGTGGTGGCTGGCGTGGTGCGATGGTGCAGATCTCTGGACCTGTTTCGTCGACTCGGGTTGCTGTGGGTGGGGGCTGGGGCGCTTCTCCGTGACTGGGGACTGCTCGGTGCTCTTAGGGGTCGGGGAGCTGGTCAGCGGGGACCTGGTCAACGGGGATCCGACCAGCGGGGATTCCCGATCATCGTCGCTGCAGCTGTCGACCTCAAGCTCCGTCTGAGAATCTGCAGAAGTGAAATATGTAAACATTAGTCACGTGACAACCCTCAACCAATAGATGAGCTTTCAGTGGAGGAGAATGAAGACGTCAATAATTAATTTAATTAATGGCCGCCTGCCCGTAGCTCGCGGGTCTGACTACTAGTAAAACAAATTAAAGTCGTTGTTTGACTTCCATATCCAACAGCACGTCCGTGGGTTAGGCTAGTGGTTGGGTAAACTTGGCGGCGGAAACCTGGAGACCTCGGCACCTGCTCGTGCGTGAAAACACACGAGATGTACTCACACACTCGGCGAGCACTCGGCACGGCTGCTGGAGGGTGGGAGAACTCCACCCCCGACCCACGGGCAAAGCTCACTTAGAAAGTTGATACTTGTGTTGGTACAGCAACCCTAGGTAATGACTCGTTCAATGCTTTCCACATGGGCCGCTCTCTTCACACATTAGGTCAATCATAACATGTCTACATTTCTGACGGCTGTATGTATATATATATATATATATATATATATATATATATATATATATATATATATATATATATATATATATATATATATATATATATATATATATATATATCGGTCTCCTGTACATACACATATATTTTGAGGTTTAACTACGAATGGTTATTTTTATAAATTAGATTTAGTCTCTCTTATTTCGGTTCTCTAGATCTAGTTCTAGTTTTAGCTCTAGTCTAAGCTCTTGTCTTTAGCTATATTCTAACCTCACCTCTAGTCTAAGCTCTTGTCTTTAGCTCTTGTCTTTAGCTCTATTCTTACCTCTAGTCTCAGCTTTTGTCTTTAGCTCATGTCTTTAGCTCTATTCTAACCTCTAGTCTAAGCTCTTGTCTTTAGCTCTTGTCTTTAGCTCTTGTCTTTAGCTCTATTCTAAGCTCTAGTCTAAGCCCTTGTCTTTAGTTTTAATCTTTAGCTCTGGTCTTTAGCTCTATTTTTAAGCTCTTGTCTTTAGCTCTAGTCTAAGCTCTTGTCTTTAGCCCTATTTTAAGCTCTTGTCTTTAGCTCTGGTCTCCAGTCTCTAGCTCTAGCCAACGAGCGAGCCTCCCCTAATGGACAAACAGGCCACCTTACAAGGCCACCAAACAGGCCACCTTATAAGGCCACCAAACAGGCCACCTTACAAGGCCACCAAACAGGCCACCTTACAAGGCCACCAAACAGGCCACCTTACAAGGCCACCAAACAGGCCACCTTACAAGGCCACCAAACAGGCCACCTTACAAGGCCACCAAACAGGCCACCTTACAAGGCCACCAAACAGGCCACCTTACAAGGCCACCAAACAGGCCACCTTACAAGGCTAGGGAGGACCACGAGCGACTGCTAGTAAATATTCTCCTCTGTCTTCTATTCAGCGGTTTACCCTTTCACTGTTTGCTCGTGGCTTATGAAAAGCTGTTAGGGCGCCAAAATTTGAGTTGGACTATTTGAAAAGTAAAGAGCAAGCGATGCCGCCTTGACTTGTAGCGTTTTCACGGTCGTATTTTGTTTCTCGCACCAAGTCACTCCCTGGAGCTGAGGGTGGGGGTGGGAATATTTGTAGCTGATCCCATGTCACGCTCTTGTTCTTATCCCATGTCACGCTGTCTTGGTCTTATCCCATGTCACGCTGTCTTGTTCTTATCCCATGTCACGCTGTCTTGTTCTTATCCCATGTCACGCTGTCTTGTTCTTATCCCATGTCACGCTGTCTTGTTCCTATCCCATGTCACGCTGTCTTGTTCCTATCCCATGTCACCCTGTCTATTGCTTATCATAATTATGTCGACCGGCAGATCGTCCCCTACCCCTCATACCGGCCCGTACCCTGACCCCCACATCAGCCGGCACATTCTCCGGTCGACCGGCAGAAGGTGAAAACGATACTCAGTCCTTGGCACACGAGCCCACACGCTCTGCTACTGACCACGCCACGTGACCTTTGTGTTGGTGTCAAAGGTCATGGTCATTAGATGGGGATAGATAGATGCCGCCTGCTGTTTTCTGACCCCATCAGATGGTCTAAGTCTACTCGCATGCAGTGATTCGTTCAAACGGCCAAGACAAGCGGATATGACGTCACATTTGGGTAAACGGTCGAGTTAACCGGAAACATATTAATCACGTGATGCGGATCTACGCTACAATAACAGTGTGCAAGACTTGATTTAAATTTAGTTACCGGTAACAGCGGCATACACGTCAAGTGTGGGAGCCGCTTTGTAAAGACTTAAAACTTGGGCAATAGCTGCGAGATTAGCGGTGTATGTTTGCATGTACGATGGATAGCCAGCTGTAAATAGACGGAATCTCGCGCCTGCGATCGTCTGCACGTGTTCTGCATCTTTGCCATGATGACATTAGAGGGCAAGACATAGCTGAGGGTTGCCGCTCTATCTGGCCTTGTCACCCACCGCGAGGGTCGGGCCTGCAGCAGACGTTGCCATCCCAACAATCAGCAGATCAACTTGTGTATACAAAATATCATCTCCAGCGTTCACGCCGCGTCTGCCTCCAATCTTCGCGCCATATTTACCGCCTTTGTGCGAGAAACTGCGCTAATGATTCCAGTATCTCGGCGCATTCCTACACTGTCACAGGCCTGCGCTTCCTGCCACAGGTGGGCCGCACAAGGGAGACAAATCGTGAGGCTCGTGGGTGGCTCCGCGGCTCTTAAGCTACCAGTCAGTATTAATACAAGAGGTGGATCGGGCTCTTCACAGGCGAGGGCCTTAATTGTTGACGTGACGATGAGGTGAGTAGAACGATAAAAGGAGTATTTTCCCTTGGCGTTGGTCTGTGGCAGGAAGGCATTAGCAGGAGCAGACGATAAGCTGGTCACGTGGCACACGATGTAAATACTCAATGTGTGGCGCCATGGGGAAGGCATGTCAGCTCTAATGGCCGGGGCGGGCGGGATGATATGGGTGCCACCCACGGGTGTAGCTGACGCTTTGACACAATCGCGGCTCACGTTCATCAAGGTGAGCGGCTCAACGTGTATGCTGGCTAACCTAACTGATCACATGATGGGTCAACTAACTGATGAACGTTTATGCTGGGTCAAATAACCGATCACATCCAGGGTCAACGAACTGACCACATCCAAGGTCAACGAACTGACCATATACAGGGTCAACGAACTGATCACATCCAGGGTCAACGAACTGACCACATCCAGGGTCAACGAACTGACCACATCCAAGGTCAACGAACTGACCATATACAGGGTCAACAAACTGATCACATCCAGGGTCAACGAACTGATCACATCCAGGGTCAACGAACTGATCACATCCAGGGTCAACGAACTGATCACATCCAGGGTCAACGAACTGACCACATCCAGGGTCAACGAACTGACCACATCCAGGGTCAACGAACTGACCACATGCTGGGTCAACGAACTGACCATATACAGGGTCAACGAACTGACCACATACAGGGTCAACGAACTGACCACATGCTGGGTCAACGAACTGACCACATCCAGGGTCAACGAACTGACCACATGCTGGGTCATATAACCGATCACATCCAGGGTCAACGAACCGATCAATGTAACCCCCATTAACACCCAATCCTAACCAAACCTGCTCCTCATAAAGTCTGACTTAACTGTTTATAGTAAATGCCGTACGAATTCACTTGACGAAATGTCTTTGGGTAGTAGACCTATATTTAAATATTGATTTCTATTGGCACGTGATCGTAGCTATTTTTAGTCGTATTTTGTGTTTTTACAAATTGCTTACATTTTTGCACGGAAAGATATATAAAAAGCTGGTCACGACTACAAAATGTGGTAACGACCACAAAAGCAGAAGCAACGACCAGGAGTTTGAATGTTGACATGGCTACTTAAGGCTGGAGCAAAGCCTAGCCGAAACGGCCTTAAATTAAATAAATAATATCGGCTCTTTTCGGTGCAAGTTTTTTTCTTCGTTACATCACCGCAGTAATTCGGTAGAGGATTGATATACAGTTAGCATTGATATATAGCAGTACATCATTGATATATAGCAGTACAGCATTGATACATAGCAGTACAGCATTGATATACAGCACGTACATCATTGATATACAGCAAGGATAGCGTTGATATATAGCAGTGCATCATTGATATACAGCTAGGATAGCGTTGATATTAGGCAGGGACAACATTGTGGACATGAGCAGGTTGTCATCTATTGGGTTGTCACTATAGCATAGTAGGGTTGCTAATAGGGTTGTCACTATAGCGTAGTAGGGTTGCTAATAGGGTTGTCACTATAGTGTAGTAGGGTTGTCACTATAGTGTAGTAGGGTTGTCACTATAGTGTAGTAGGGTTGTCACTATAGTGTAGTAGGGTTGTCACTATAGTGTAGTAGGGTTGTCACTTTAGTGTAGTAGGGTTGTCACTATAGTGTAGTAGGGTTGTCACTATAGTGTAGTAGGGTTGTCACTTTAGTGTAGTAGGGTTGTCACTATAGTGTAGTAGGGTTGTCACTCTAGTGTAGTAGGGTTGTCACTATAGTGTAGTAGGGTTGTCACTATAGTGTAGTAGGGTTGCTAACGGGTTGACATAGATTGCCACATTGTTGAGATAAAACTTTCAAGTAAAAAACTGGCGAGGTGTTGAAGTATCAGACAAGTGGCGCCCTCTCTAAATACACCAACTACAAAAGTGGCGCCCTCTCAAAATACAGCAACTACAAAAGTGGCGCCCTCTCAGCGCCCACCAACTCCCAGAGAGGCGCGGCTCCAGAGCACCCTCAGATGTCGGTAGTGCGAGAAGGTCAGGGTCAAGTAGGTCTGGGCTGTATACAACAGCTGATCGCCGCCTCCCCACACATCAAAGACCGGGATTGATCCAATTCTAGACCATTAGGTCTGTCGTAGCCCTCCCCACCCCGGGGCCCTCACCTCCCCACCCCGGGGCCCTCACCTCCCCACCCCGGGGCCCTCACCTCCCCACCCCGGGGCCCTCACCTCCCCACCCCGGGGCCCACGCTGGAATAACGGGCACGTTTTTGCTACAACCGTTGGAAGATGGAGTGCTAACAAGTCCAAGTGACAAGGGGGGGGGGATGATATTGACGGACGTGGCAAATATTAATGCCATCCTAACCCTCTTACAATTCCGCTGTTTTCGATCTGTTGTTGTCTTTAATTAAAGTGGAATAAAGTGGGATCGGTTGTGTGCTGGGTAGGTTATGTTGTTGTGATGTGTGTTGGTGTGATGTATGTTGGTGTGATGTATGTTGGTGTGATGTATGTTGGTGTGATATATGTTGGTGTGATGTATGTTGGTGTGATATATGTTGGTGTGATGTATGTTGTTGTGATATATGTTGCTGTGATGTATGTTGCTGTGATGTGTGATGTGTGTGTGACTGATGTTTACTTGGTTGGTGTGATGTTTGTTGCTGTGATGTGTGATGTGTGTATGACTGATGTTTACTTGGTTGGTGTGATGTATGTTGCTGTGATGTGTGATGTGTGTGTGTGACTGATGTTTACTTGGTTGGTGTGATGTGTGTATGACAAATGCCGTGGTGTAGAGCCATGTTTGAACTTACCACAACTGTCCTCCCCGTCCTCTTGATGGTCCTGGTCCCCGTGTTTGTCCGCCCCTGACAGGGGGGCAGTGACCGTCCCTGGACCCCAGAGGGGCCCTTGGGTCATCACGGGGATTCCCGATTCTGACACGCATGCGCGGATCCCTAAAGCAATGGCGTCTTCTGCTGCTTGTTGTCTTTTCAAAGCAACCTGAAATTATCAAAATTCTCTCTACAGCCTAAAAATATCAAATTTCTCTCTACAACAAGAAAATATCAAAATTCTCCCTACAACCTTAAATTTTGAAATTCTCTCAACAACCTGAAAATATCAAATTTCTCTCTACAACCTGAAAATATCAAATTTCTCTCTACAACCTGAAAATATCAAAATTCTCTCTACAACCTGAAAATATCAAATTTCTCTCTACAACCTGAAAATATAAAAATTCTCTCTACAAAGTGAAAATATCAAAATTCTCTCTACAACCTGAAAATATCAAATTTCTCTCTACAACCTAAAAATATCAAATTTCTCTCTACAACCTGAAAATATCAAAATTCTCTCTGCAGCCTGAGATTATATCAGAATTCACTTGAAACACTTAAATTATCAAAATTCACTCACATTCGAAATAAATGTGCATGTGATATAATGTGAATTTATGTCCTTTGATATTATATTATATTAGTGAATGACATATCAAGTGACGTCATATAATGTGATGTCATTTGATGTCACGTGATGATATATTGGGACAGGTACAGTTATGCTCTGATCAAATATCAAGTATCAGGAAATAATCAACAATAATAAAAAATATTTGCTTGAAGTTTACCAAATAAAAAATTGGAAAAGTTTTAAATTTTCGAATAAATTTATTTTTAAAAACGACATAACTTTTTACAAGTTGCAATTTTTACTTTCTCGTTTATACGAGGTATAGAGAAAGAATTGAAATCGTGTAAAAAAATTTGAGATTTTTGCAAATCTCGACGTTTTACACCTCCCTGAGTCGGAAAAACATAGTTTTGGAATCTTGTCCGTATGTCTGTGTGTGTGTGTGTGTGTGTGTGTGTGTGTGTGTGTGTGTATCGTGTAAACACGATAACTTGAGTACCGTTACAGCTAGGTTGATGAAATTTCAGATATAAGTATTATATCAAAATCGTAGATCCGTATCAACTTTCGAGAGCGATTTCCGATAACCGGAAGTGGAACATTTTCTACTTTGAATTTTTCAAAAGCCTTTAATTTGAGTACTATTTCAGATAGATAAATGAAATTTCACAAGTAAGTAAAAGATCTAATTTTCTGCCTTCTGTCAAATTTTAAGTAATTTCCGTTGACCGGAAGTAGTAATTGTCACTCTTTCCAATTTCTCAAAAACGCATGTGAATTTATAAAGTACTATTAATATTTCGCACTATTATACAGATCTTTATTCGGCGTTCGCTTGGTGGGCAATTCTTTTTTCCTGTGTATTCTATTCTATTTTAAAAAGTTTAAGTATTTAAAATGGATTAAAAATCATAACTATATTCCGAGTTCCCATCCCCTGTTGTTTTATGTAAGAATATTCGAGAAAGTTTAGGGGAGATCACTCCCGGTTTATTTAATTTATTTTGATCTTTTACGTGTGACATATGTGTTAGAAAAAGTTTGTAGTTTGGTGGATAAAGCGAGGAAATATTGTTAGCTGTCGTTGTTGGTCAGCTGTAGAGACAAAATAACATTTCAAACTTCTGAGTACTATGTTCAATTATTCGAGTTTTATAAATCCGCTCTTTTGTATGGCATTGCAAATATACGTATTAGGTCGCCACGTTATAAACATGTTTTAAATTTTATCCAGTATTTTTTTATTCGAACTTTGACAATATAACATGATATATTTCCGATTCTTGATGCAACTTGTTTCATCTGTTTCCGTACATCACTGCAAGTCTTCAGTTTTTAACTTCTAAATGTAGCCAGATCTATTTCTTCCAACTTCATCGAATCTCCTATGCCAACTATGGGATATGTTGGAACTAGTTATTGAAATAACAGGCTTCAAATGTCATTTAGTCAAAAAACCAACCGCAGCTAAATTTATACGTTAGGTTGTATATAATGTTCACCGAGCTACATCAACAATTGATTTGAGCAGGTTTATAAACTATGGAATCTGTAGGGTGATGGATCTCTATCCAACCTCTTTGATGGCGGATATTGTTTCATTAAAACACAATAAAGCGGGAGTGATTTCCCCTAAACTTTCTCGAATATTCTTATATAAAACAATGGGGTATGGCAACTCGGAATATATACATGATTGTTAATACATTTTTAATTACTTAAACTTTTTAAAATAGAATAACATCTCGTAGAAAAAAGAATTGCGCACCAAGTGAACAGCAACAATTTGTATAATAGTGCGGAACATTAGTACTTTATAAATTCATATGCGTTTTTTTTTTTTTGAGAAATCGGAAATAGCGTAACGTGCTACTTACGGTCACCGGAAATCACTCAAAATTTGAAAGAACACAGAGAATTAGGTTTTTTTGTGAAATTTCATCTATCTGTAAGAAACAATACTCAAGTTATAGTCTTTTGAAAAACCTAAAGTAGAATGAATTCGACTTTCGATTACCGGAAATCGCTGAAAATTTGATACACAACAACAAATTTGATGTGATACTTATATATGAAATTTCATCTACCTAGCTATTACGGTACTCAAGTTATCGTGTTCACGGACACACATACACACTCACGGACAGAATTGCGAAGTCCAGTTTTTCCGACTCGATTACGCGTAAATCCTCGAAATTTTTATAAAACTGGATTAAGAATTTTTGCCTCATTAAAATAGTCCCCTATACTCCGTATATGATGAAGTACTGAGGTGTAAAACAGTGAAAATAGTCAAAATTTCATGTGATTTTTGTGCACGATTACAATACTTCCTCTATACTCTGCATACAAGAAAGTGAAAAAAAAAAAAATTTAATCTAACCAAATAATTACAATTTAAAATATAACAAATTGTAATTGTCAAGTCATTGTCAATAGAAAAATAAATCAGATACAATAAATGTGAGTTGATTCGACAAAAGTAATTAACACACCATTGTAGCTTCGATAGGATGTAAATTACTTTCTCTCCGAATTATCGGATTAGTAGGATGTCAGTGTGGCCGCAGGACGTCAACATTTACGTCAGGACGTCAGTTAGACATTAAACACAAGCATTTATTAAACCCAACCATTAAACCCAGGCATAAGTTAAATCCTTGAACCAACCAATAGAAATTCACTGACCTAATTCTCTACATTTGAAACAAAAAACAAGATCAGTCCCAAAATGTTGAACCATAACTGACACCTAAACCATGACTCAATCAAAACTTGAGAACTCAATTATCGCTGAACATGTCCACACCCCCCCCCCACCCCACACAGTTTGTTAACTATTTATACCTGTAAGGCTCTAACCAATTCAAATCTATCCCAATAATTCTCAGACCAGACAGAACAAAACTTGAAAGTGTTACAGGGAGAATTTTGTCTAAGGGGGGGGGGGGGGGAGCAATTTGTAAACCCATTATGTAAAATTTGGGGTTTATAGTCCATCTTTTATCATGTCTGTCGCCTAGCCTAAAGTTGTATAGCGAATGTGTCTCCTTACTTATTTTGTATAGCGAGTGTGTCGCCTAAAGTTGTGTCGCGAGTGTGTCGCCTAAAGTTGTATTGCAAGTGTGTCGCCCTAACATAGCGAGTGTGTCGCCTAAAGTTGTGTGGCGAGTGTGTCGCCTAAAGTTGTGTGGCGAGTGTGTCGCCTAAAGTTGTGTCGCTAGTGTGTCGCCTAAAGTTGTATGGCGAGTGTGTCGCCTAAAGTTGTGTTGCGAGTGTGTCGCCCTAGTATAGCGAGTGTGTCGCCTAAAGTTGTATAGCGAGTGTGACGCCTTACCTGGGCGGCCATGACCCTCTGCCTCTCGGCGATGAGGTTACACTTGGGGCACGAGCAGTCCTTGTAGGTGCAGTGGCGCTTGTGGCCCTTGAGCCAGGACACCATGCCGTGGTTGCGGCAGCGGGCGCACTTTGGCTTCCGGGCGCCCTTCTCTGTCAGGGGGTACAGGGCGGGCACCCCGTTCATACTGGTAGGGTACAGCGACAGTTTGGTGGCCGTGGTGCTCACGTGATGGACAAACTGACCAATCGCGTGTTCACGTGATTGACAAACTGACCAATCGCGAGCTCTCTCGCCTGGGACCGTCTTGACCGTTGGCGACTGTTATTGACCTAAAACAGAAAACATATAATCACAATTAAAGTTCAGCTAATTAGTGCAATCAGATAATGACTTAAACTAAAACCAACAAAAGCACGATGAATACTGCAGCAGCAATTAGTTAAATATTTAACATTATTTAGCTTGACTGAGTCACAACAGACGCGCGTCAGAGGTACATAGTTCAACAGGAGTCGGCAAAGAGTCCTAACAAAAGACAGTAAACATAGAGGAGTCAGCAAATGTCCCCTAAGGAGTCAGCAAATGTCCCCTTAGTTTTATATCCTGCTCCTAATTTTTCGTCCACTGTAAACTTTACAACAGCTCGCTCACCTCACCAGCATGTTAACATGACCACACCCCCACCTCCCATGTTAAGATGACCACACCCCCACCTCCCATGTTAAGATGACCACACCCCCACCTCCCATGTTAAGATGACCACACCCCACCTCCCATGTTAAGATGACCACACCCCCACCTCCCATGTTAAGATGACCACACCCCCACCTCCCATGTTAAGATGACCACACCCCCACCTCCCATGTTAAGATGACCACACCCCCACCTCCCATGTTAAGATGACCACACCCCACCTCCCATGTTAAGATGACCACACCCCCACCTCCCATGTTAAGATGACCACACCCCCACCTCCCATGTTAACATGACCACACCCCACCTCCCATGTTAACATGACCACACCCCCACCTCCCATGTTAACATGACCACACCCCCACCTCCCATGTTAACATGACCACACCCCCACCTCCCATGTTAACATGACCACACCCCCACCTCCCATGTTAACATGACCACACCCCTACCTCCCATGTTAAGATGACCACACCCCATCTCCCATGTTAAGATGACCACACCCCATCTCCCATGTTAACATAACCACGCCCCCACCTCCCATGTTAAGACGCCCCCCCTCCCAACTTCCCATAACGACAATGATACACCCAGCCACGTAACATTAAAAGACAAACACACATACGCAAATACATATTCACACATCAGTACAAAAAACGAACACACAAAGCAACACAGCTTAATTCACACACAAACACACGTTTACTTAAAGACATTTAGAGATACACACACTAAAACACAACATAACACTTAGCACCTAATGTACACACACAAACATCATAACACACAGTAACACACATCATAACACACAACTTAACGCAATAACAAACACACACTTTAAGCTAGAAGTAATTCGTTACCAAACATATTAGCTAACAGATTATTTTAATTAGCCTAATTAAACGATCATCATTGAAACTGATGACGGGATGTGTGAGCAAAAAAAAAATATCCAGTTCACAAAAAAAAAAAATCTCGTTCTAAAATGTTGGAAAACTTTCAAAAACTTTCAAAAACTTTTAAAAACTTTTAAAAACTTTAAATGTTTTCTAAAGTTGAAACGATCCTCTTGATTTGATCATGGCTATAAAATTATTTATATCTTACATGTGTGTGTCTTACACATGAAATTTTGTAATAACTTGAAGGATTATTTGACAGATTATTTGACAGATTATTTGATAGATTATTTGACGGATTAATTGACTGTTTATTTGACAAATTATTTGACGGAATATTTGACTGATTATTTGCATGATTATTTGCATGATTATTTGCATGATTATTTGCATGATTATTTGCATGATTATTTGCATGATTATTTGCATGATTATTTGCATGATTATTTGCATGATTACTTGCATGATTACTTGCATGATTATTTGCATGATTATTTGCATGATTATTTGCATGATTATTTGCATGATTATTTGACTGATTATTTGACGGATTATTTGATGGATTATTTGACGGATTATTTGACGGATTATTTGACGGATTATTTGACGGATTATTTGACGGATTATTGTAGTCTGTTGACTGAGATCATCACAAGGGGAGAGAAACATCCAAGTAAGTTGATCAACTGGATTCGAGTTGTCGCGACATGATTTCCCTTGTTTAGAAGAATTGGTACGAGGGTCTGGCCTAGGTTTTGGTTCAGCTGCGGATGCAGTTTCTTCTTCGGGGGGGGGGGGGGGGGGGGCACCGCCGAAGAAAGTTTACCGCCCCCCCCCCCCCCGAACGAAATGGAATTTATATAGGAAATATATACTTTTGACAGTGTCCGCACCCCCCCCCCCCCCCGGAAATTGTTGTCCGCCACCCCGAAAATTTCAAGTGCACCCCCGGAGAAAAAAGTCTGGAAGAAACACTGCGCGGATGGCATACACGAGTTAACTTAAAGGTTTTTCCCTTTGGGTGGTGGTGGTGATGGTGATGGTGATGGTGATGGTGGTGGTGGTGGTGGTGGTGGTGGTGGTGGTGGTGGTGGTGGTGGGTGGGAGGGGGAGGGGGCTAAAATTTGCCGGATGCAGCTCCACGTGTTGGAATACATTCTGTGCACCGTTTAATGTGCTTGTAAATTCGATGTTAGGCCAAGTTCAAGGTCATTTCTGGTGCAGCTCAAGGTCAAACAAAAAAAAATTTCTGGATATATTTTACAACTGTTGTGTACGAAACGGATATTTTGTTTCATAACAAGCTAAATAATGTACACATAACATTAATTCTAGAATATTTGTTTTCAAATGATTCAATACACTAAACAAAACGTACAGACTAATGTATCAGCTACATACATCTCTGGACTTTTGTGTACAAATTATTTCTAGTCAGTTAAGAGATGATTTGTACATTAGTTCAATTGTATGCTGCAGACTGCATTTAATTTACACATAACTCGTCTCCTAGACCATTTCTAACTTACACAACAAAAAATGTCTAATTTATCAAAAAACAACAACTCTAGACATTAACTACAACATTATTCAATATAGAATGTCAAGACCTTATGTGCATACAGCTGACAATAACTCACAACTCTACTTGTATATTTTATATAACATATTACATATACTGTAACAGCTGACCCGATGAATAAAAACAGTTTATATAAACAGATCCATGTACAATTCACCCTTAAGTATTTTAATTTCAACCATTTGACTGTATTAAAGTATTTTAATCTTTTGACTGTATTATTTACCGTAAAGTATTTCAACCGTTTGAGTGTATTATTTACCGTAAAGTATTGCAACCATTTGACTACATTATTTACCATTACACCTACTTGGGTAAGTGCATATAATTGAGGGAGTGCTACTTTTCTTTATGCTTATGGTGTATGTGTACATCTAAATACTGCTTAATAAATATTTAAGTCTGTTTTTTGTAATGATGTTTTTTGTTATTTTTTTCCCGAATTTACCGTTTTTTTTAATGCAGGTTTTGGGCGATAAAAGTAGAAAAAAAGGAGAAGTTCTACATTTAGAGTGGTGGTTCTTAGTGGCGTTGTTAGGTCGGGTGTCACCCGGTGCGGCACCTAGAGGTGAACGTTGGTGTCACCCCCCCCCCCCCTTTTTTTTAAAAAAAAAATAGGTCTACACTTTGCACAGATAATAGTAAGGATGTTTATCTGTACTCGGTTACAGCTGGATGTAGCAATGTTTTCTCTAAAGTTGGCCAGTTTGCTCTTAAAATACACTCCAAGTCAAATTAATCATTACTTTAAGAACCCCCGACATAAAGGCTTCAAACTTGATTTACTGATTCGGTCTGTCTTCCCTACATAGTTGTATGTATATAAGAGTCGAATATAATTACATCTTTAAATGTACTAGAGCTGTATATAATTAAGTCTACATATAGTAGTGCTGCATATAATTACATGTTTAAATGTAGTAGTGCTGTATATAATTACATCTTTAAATGTAGTAGAGCTGCATATAATTATAATTTTTTTATGTCTACATATAGTACAGCCGCATATAATTACCTTTTTAAATGTAGTAGAGCTGCATATAATTATGTCTACATATAGTAGTGCTGCATATAATTATGTCTACATATAGTAGTGCTGCATATAATTATGTCTACATATAGTAGTGCTGCATATAATTATGTCTACATATAGTAGTGCTGCATATAATTACATCTTTAAATGTAGTAGTGCTGCATATAATTATGTCTACATATAGTAGAGCTGCATATAATTATGTCTACATATAGTACAGCCGCATATAATTACCTTTTTAAATGTAGTAGAGCTGCATATAATTATGTCTACATATAGTAGTGCTGCATATAATTATGTCTACATATAGTAGTGCTGCATATAATTATGTCTACATATAGTAGTGCTGTATATAACTATGTCTACATATAGTACAGCCGCATATAATTACATCTTTAAATGTAGTAGGGCTGTATACTAAGTATTTTATATTTAGATGCCGAAAACCCCCAACAATTGTTAAAATCTGGGGTAGGGTGGGTACCCTTATATTTCTGTCAACAGTTGGTTTCCATTTACTCTCTATCACATGAGTACATGTAATTATCTAATTATATTCATTACATAATGTTTAATGTAATTGCTTTGATCTATTGGGATTTGTCAGCTTTTGTGTTCTTGAGTTATTTGTGAATTTATTAATTATTTGTGAATTTATTAATTATTTGTGAATTTATTAATTATTTGTAAATTTGTTAATTATTTGTGAATATATTAATTAGTACAAAATTGACAAAAAATCTGCAGTAAAGGTAAAAAAAAATTAAAATAATAAAACTTTTTATATTAGTTGTTCGTCCATTGTTATTTTACAATGCATGTTTTGGATTTAAATTAATTTAAAAAAAGAATCATTTTTTGGGGGTATAGGTATGACATTAAGTATTTTAATTTTAAGCATTGGACATATTTAACATTAAGTGTTTAATTTCAACTAATTGACTGGTTTTTTTTTTAAACTTTAAATTAGTTGGACATTTTTTCCCTTGAAATATTTGACAATTTAAACAAGCATTTATTTAGCTGGACCAAAATTTGAGATCAACTGAGCCGATTTGTTGTGAACTGTAGGCCTACCAGCTGCTCAATGTTCGATGACAAGCAGCTGCTCAATGTTCGATG